GTGCAACAGATCGCACATAATGAAATAGCTGTTATTTCTTTTGGGGGGTTTAAGGTAAGTGGAGTACAATCTGAAGTATGCCCTGTTTTTTCCTGCAAGCCTCTAAACATTACAGCTGGTTACAGTATGCTGCTGACAAGTTCAAAGTCAGGTGGTGAATCTTTGAATAAGCCCATTAGCTAGGAAGAGATTGAAACACTGTTCCCTGACTATAAACTTAATCCTAGTCAGCAGCTTTCTAACTCCTTTTATAACAAGGAAAACTCAGTGAGAAAATGTAGAAAACCCAATGCAACTCTGCACCACAAGAGAGAAACAACTGAGAATATCATTGCTGGGTGGAAAGGAAAGGACTTTTTATTTAAGCATTTAGTATACTAGAACCAGCCAGCTTCTTAAAGGAGTTCATTATTCCACATCATCGATCACTTTTAGAAGAGAGGAAGAATTTACAAAAAGGGAAGATAACCATATATCACATAGAAAGAAATTTCTAATTTAAAATAAAACCCCCCAACTACACAGACACACATTTCAGTTAATACTTTGACATGTGAATATGCTCTTCAGTTAGGTTTAATGCATGTAAGTTAAGATGGTCACCTTTTTCTTCAGAGGTAAATCCTGATGCAGCCTCCACCTTTTCAAGTATTTTCCTCAGTTTCATAATTTTTGTGGCACACACATATCCATATCTATGTTAGTAAAAAACTATTAATTGATATTGGCATGTATGAAATTATATAACACATCTTAATCACACAGTTCTTTTTTTTTTTTTTTTTTGAGACAGAGTCTTACTCTGTCACTCAGGCTGGAGTGGTGCAACGGCCCGATCTTGGCTCACTGTAATCTCCGCTTCCCAGGCTCAAGAGATTCTCAAGCCTCAGCCACCAAAGTAACTGGGATTACAGGCGTGCACTACCATGTCGAGTTAATTTTTGTATTTTTAGTAGACACAGCATTTCACCATGTTGGCCAGACTGCTCTTGAACTCCTGGCCTCAAGTGATCCACCTGCCTCGGCCTCCCAAAGTGCTGGGATTATAGGTGTGAGCCACCGTGCCCAGCCAACACATTTCTTATACAACTCCAGTATGTCATAAATCAATAGGTTAGACAATTAGTTTGAAGAAAACAATTACAGACTTCTTCTTGAAGCTTGCAAAATTAAAGATCTGGAACCAGAATTATTCTAGACACTATTATATGCTCTACAAGTAACTGTCTTACACTAATACAATACAAAAATTATTTTAAGTTTGTGGTGACTAATTTTTTAAATAATATTTGCTTGGGAAATTAAAGCATTTACTTTATAAAGCAGAATATACAATTTTGAGAGACAGTATCCTTTTAATAGTAAAGTGTGAAACAGCCACTAAGGGAAATGGGAAAAGGAATTTATAAGAAACTGAAAAGGTAAAATCTGCAATCAAACCAACTGGCATAATGATGACATTTTCTCTCTTCTTTGTCTGAATGCAAGACACATTCAATAAGTTTAATATCACTTTAAATTTGTAATTCTAAAAATGGCTTCAGAGGACAACTTAGTGGCTACCATAAGTTTACTAAGGACAAGTCAGAACTAGCTAATTTTATATCCACTTTTTGTACTATTCATTCACTCGTTCGTTTCCTGCAACCAATGCAGACTGAGAATCTACCACTTACATAGTAATGTAACCTGTCAGCCACTGGGAATACAAAACGAGTATAAAAAGACAGAGTGTCTGAAGAAAAGCAGAGATTTCAGCACCAAATAAAACCAGCCAACTATATACAGATATGAATGCTACAGACACAGACACAGGGAATCCTGATCACAACAGGGCATCTGACCAGTTTCTTACTGTATACAGGGTAAGAAAGTATGATTAACTATGATTCTTAACCGGTTGAACAACAGAATCCAAAGAATGTTTATTAATGAACTTATGGTACTTTGGAAGGAAGGAAGGAGGCGGTAACATCCCTTAGAGTTTCGGGTTTGACCTGTCTTGTTTCAGTATCAATTAGTTGGGGAAAAAAAATAGTATGTTTAAAAATTTGCATAAGATAAAATAATTGATGTGAAAATCAAGATTCACAATTATCTTAAAAGGTAAGATCATTAGAGAATTCATTACAGAATTTAAGGAAAGCAAAAGATTCAAGTGAGGAAATTTATTCTCTTATAATTTACTTTCCTAGTCATGTGATATAGCAGATAATTTGGGATGCTCATTGTATTTGAGTATTCTGCTTTTTTTGGTTCAAATTTGATATAAAACTATTTTTTACTTTAATTGATAAATAAGAACAGTATATAAAAGGATTCAAATTTATCTTAATATGGACTTTAAATTATATCGCTTTCTCTCTATACTCCTGAATGAACAAATTTATTTTATGATCTATCGCCCTAATTCTTCGTAGTTTAAATTTTATAATGTGACATTATCACATATCACTACTACCACTTATTCAAAGTCTTTACTAGATATCTGTCACTTGTGCTTGTACCATTACAAATTGCTTCCTGTGGCCATAAAAAGACATATTTAATATTCCTAAAGTAGGAAATGGAAAAATAATCACCTTTTTAAGGCAGGTGGAAAGAGGCCAAATATATTCCTTTAACCAAAAAATATGGCACTAAAATACATCTCATCTGTTGCTAGTCCAAAGTATTAAACATTAGCTATTCTATAAAGAATTTCCCTGGTTCCTTTTCTTTCAGATTTAAGAAGCTAGACTATATTAATTTAACTAATAAGCATGATTACTTGTAGCAGAGGTGCTGGAATAAACTATTTCAAAAGATAAGAATTCTAAGTATTATGTATTAGCTTTCCTAAATGTACTGCAATTGCTAAATTACAGTTTACTCTAGCAAAATGGGTTAAATCATTTCATGGAATATGCTATCAGATTTAAGAAATTAAATAAACAAAAAAATACAAGAACCAAAGGTTTAAAAATGTAATATTTTACCATGAGAACTAATTTTCCCCCATCTCTTATTATATGAAGACAAGGTATAAATTAATTACTATACCAGAAAACAGCAAATAGAACACCATGTAAAGGCAAAATAGCAATATGTCTTCTACTTACATTCTCAGAGGATTAACAATTTCTGTCCTCAGTAACTCTTGGGTTTCACTATAATATTCTACATCATTCTTTTCTTTGGGTCTAAGTAACACAGTGTCCAGAACAGAACTAAAAGCAAATAAGCTGCAAAAGAAAAAGGATATTTTTCTTCATGCTATAAACATATTTTTCAAGAAATAGATTTTTTAAAGAATTAGAAGAGGAAAAGAAGTAAAGTCTAGAGAAGAAATAACGTAACAATTTGTGTTTTTCGTTAACACAGGTACCAGGACCCCTGTGAAGATGCCCATGGTTCAATCATCAGGACCTACAGATCTTTCCATGTTAAGGACAATACCAATAATACTGAAAAAGCAAACTGCAGATCAACGGTGTTAAAGGATAACAATGTGCCCATAGAATATTAAAAAATAAAACTTCTTTGCAAAAGTTGAAAGAGGGACTACAAATCTGTCAAATTACAGACAACAGAGGACATCATTTATAAACAACTTCCCAAAGCAAGCACTACTCAGTGCCTCACTTAATATCACTTATGAGTGACTAACAGGCCAGGTGCGGTGGCTCATGCCTGTAATTCCAGCACTTTGGGAGGCCGAGACGGGTGAATCACCTAAGGTCAGGAGTTTGAGACCAGCCCAACTAATATGGTGAAACCCCATCTCTACTAAAAATACAAAAATTAGCTGGGCATGATGGAGTACACCTGAAGTCCCAGCTACTTGGGAGGCTGAGACAGGAGAATCGCTCGAACCCAGGAGGCGGAGGTTCCAGTGAGCCAAGATCGCACCACTGCATTCCAGCCTGGGTGACAGAGCGAGACTCCATCTCAAAAAAATAAATAAATAAAATGAGTGACAGCAGTAACTTGCTGGTATCAAAGAAAAAGAAAATTTAGCTAATACAGATTTTTATCAGGAAATCTAAAGAATATATCAATGCTGTAAGGCTTGTTTTTATCAAAGTATTCTGCAAATAAAATGACCACCACTTCATTCTCCCTACTTTAAAAATGTTAACATCCCATATTAACTTCCTAATTCTTATCATCTGGCTACAGAACTGGCAGGCTACTCTCAATTTAGCTCAGTCTACAATCCTCAGAACCTAAAGATTCTTGGTTCAATCTCCAGAGCTTAAAGATCCTTGCAATGTTAAGGCTGGGCATGGTGGCTCATGCCTGTAATCCCAAGCACTTTGGGAGGCCAAGGCAGGTAGATAATTTGAGGTCAGAAGTTCGAGACCAGCCTGGCCAACATGGTGAAACCCCATCTCTACTGAAAATACAAAAAAAAAAAAAAAAAAGTTAGCTGGAAGTGGTGGTGCAGCCAGTAATCCCAGCTACTCAGGAGGCTGAGTCAAGAGAATCGCTTGAACCTGGGAGGCAAAGGTTGCAGTGAGCCCAGATTGTGCCACTGCACTCCAGCCTGGGGGACAGAGTTAGACTCTGTCTCAAAAAAAAAAAAAAAATATTGCAATGTTAAGTTGTTCCACTTTGGAAAAAAATTGCATATATGAGGGCAGCAGTGCTGCTACTGAAAATCGTTTTTTAAAAGAAAGTAGTTTTATGACTGCCTTTACCTACTAAAAGAAATACAGCACACAACAGCCAATGGCTTTACTGCAAGTTATGTTGCTTGACACTTGCACAACTATTTCCCAGATACCTTCTGTGTATCTATTTCATTTGTAACAATTTCATTTGTAACAATATCATTCACCTTTCTGGATACAGAAACATGAGAGGACATTCAAAAGCTTCCAAGGAGTATGTCATGAAAAGCAAATTGCCTTTCGATCCTGACCCATGGTCATCAAGTTTCTCTGCTCAGAGGCAGGTGGCAGTTTCTTGCACACACACTCACACACGCACACACACACACCCCCATATGCGTCCCTGCCCTCATGGCACTATCTATACCTATTGTATTTATTTTACACTTACCAGAATAAGGTTGAGTCTAAGTAACAAGAATTGTAATGACCCTGAATGCCTTTCTTCTTCCCAATCATTATCTCCAAGCCTTCTTTTTCCATTTTTGGCGGAGTATTTTCTTCTACTACTTCACTTAAGTAGCCTCCAAATGCTGAAAAGATTTTTTTTTAAAAAAGTAAATGAAAAGAATTCTTTTAAACTATTACAATATGTATTCCCATAAATGTTTTTTCATTTTAAAATGTTTTTGTATTTTGATGCAAAATTTGTTTCTTAACTTCAAGTGGAAAGTAGGCTTTGGTTAACTGCTATTCAACTTGGCTTATAAAAACTGCTATTGTTCATTTTCAACTTCATTTCCTCCAAGATTTAAAAACACACTTTAGGGTATTATGTGTAAAAAGCATCTGTCAAGTAAAATATGTTTCCCAAATATTTTACTATTTATCTGAAGATGCTTCATTTTCAAGTTTGAAAAGAAAATGAAAATTCCAAAGTACTATTTCAACATAATAAGAAGTGTTTTTCATAAAGATGGCTTTCCTGTTTGCACCTGCTGAAGCCCCAAGACGCTTTTTCACTATTATGTAAAAGTGGAAAGGAACAGCACCAGGAAACTGCCACCAATTACACGTGATGAGGAGAGCTGTCCTCCAGCAATCAGTTGAAATCTACTTCCTTCACCAAAATGCTGATTTCTTTGTAAGATACACTCACTGCTGTACTTAAACAAGATACTGTGAGGGAAGTCAGTTAAAAAAAAAAAAAAGGTCACATTTCAGTTTCTACCACTAGCATTGCTGAAAACTAAATGTCTGTCACCAACAGGAAGAGAAAAACAAATCACACTATTATTCACTTTATAAGTCCCAAACACACATCCTAATACTTTTTAAAGATGTCCCCTCTTAAAACAACTTTCTTATACACCATGCAACATTTTTACTGATTTAAAGCTTAATGAAAGTTGGCAAGAAATATATTAAAACACTGTCACCATCACCTAATATAACATGATATGAGATTAGAATTAGAGTCATTCCAGGTTGTTAAGTAAACGAAAAGCATCCAAATACCTAAGGAGTTACAGCGCTCGATCTGATTGGAAACCGGCTGCAATGATGCAAACCTAGAGTCAGGCCTGCAGCTCTTCAGTTTCACAAACAGCGCCTTCTTCAGGGCACAGGTGAAATACCGAGTGCCTCTGAAGGTTCCATCCGTACAGCCTGCACACTCATCTTCCTGAAAAAGAAATGCTTCAATATGCATTATACCGTGCCTTACAGAGACAGTATACAAAGAACTAAGGTTTCTAAGACCTGTTTCTAGTATACCCTTTCCCACCACTCCCTCTTCGCACCTGTACTGAGAACCTCGTCAAGAAAAAGGAGTTGAGTAATCAGTGCTTCAGCCCACAGCTACTGATTTAAGAAGTGAATTCCTTAATCCAGGATAAAGCCCTTCTTGTATTTCCTTTCAGAATATATGCTTCAACCTCCCCTGGTTAAACAGGCTTTCCCGCACCATTTCTACAAGCATTAAAACAGGCAGGGAAGGAGAAGGCTATTTATTTTAATCCTCATTCTTGCCTTCCCGCCGTGCCCCACAAGATAGTATTCACTAGCATGGAAACAAATAAGAAAAAAAAAAAAAAGAAAGAAATATATTTAAATTGGCCAGGTGCGGTGGCTCATGCCCATAATCCTAGCACTTTAGGAGGCCAAGGCAGGCGGATCACTTGAGTCCAGGAGTTTGAGACCAGCCTGGGCAACATGGCGAAACCCTGTCTCTACTAAAAATACAAAAAACTAGCCAAGCATGGTGGTGCATGTCTGTATTCTAGCTACTCAGGTGACTGAGGCAGGAGAACAGCTTGAGCCCAGGAGGTCAAGGCTACAGTGAGCCCTGACCGTGCTACTGCACTCCAGCCTGGGCGATAGAGTGAGACCCCATCTCTAAATAAATGCTAAACATACTCAACTTCTCCTTTCCTGATTACAAAATATCAAACGATATGTTCTCCTGATCTCTAAAGGGAAAACCTTTCCCTCTAGCAAAGGTCTCAAAAGATCTCTAAAAATGGTGATTAATTTTAAAGCCAGTGATATAATTCTTAGAACTGACCAGGGGAAGTGGCTGAAGAAGAAAGACAAAAGATGATGGCAAATTTGTTTGATTTACTAAATTTAGTTTAATATAAGGAGCCTAAATCGATTGGCCTAAAAATCAACTTTCATTCCTTGAACGTAAATCAACTAACATTAGGACAAGTGGGTCGCAAGCCTCAGGGGTGGCAAAGGGAAGTCAGGCAACATGGTGAGAAAATTCTTCTGCAGTGATAGCTTTTCTGACAAATATAACAGTTTGTCAAAAAGCATATAATAGGGTGAAATCTGCATAAAACCTCATAGAGAAAAAAATTGAAATTTTGGGGTCAAGTTAAATTACCAGTTCCAGTCCAGCAAGTACTTCATTCAGTCCTGGGGGCTGACCGATCCAACGGATTACCCCGTAGAAAGGAGGGTTCTCCTTAACTTCAGCCAGTGAGCCCACTTCTAGACCATGTGAGTTCCCAGGAGGCATAGCCAAGGGTGGACTCTCTTGCACGGGTGCAGTGTTTAGCTCTTCCATCACAGACTGGGCTGACAGAGAAAGTGGACTGTGGCCAATACTTCCATTGGTATTGGGCATCTTTGTGAGACTGAACGGTAAAGAGTGGAATCTGTTCTCAGTGGACAGTGAGTTCACAGGAGGAGGCTGGAGTGGTGGTGAAGAACGGTCAAAGTCTGTAGATATCTCTGTAAGAGATTTTGCAGGGTCTTCTGCAACTAAAAAATTATTCCTAATTAGAGAAATGTATTCAAGGACATCGACTGTCTTCCATTTCTAAAACTTAATATACAGATATAGTCCAACCGCCCACCTGACCTCCCTGCTATTAATAGTACTCTCATAGGTACAAAGTTACTATCTCCAACAGTGTTCTCGCTTCTCCCTCCACCTCCATATTTATGCACCTCAGTCAATGGCACCCAATTGTTCAAACCAAAAAATCTTCATCAGTGGGTATCGTATAGGTGATAGTCTTTGTCCAAAATACAATTAATTGAGAAAGCAGTACAAAAAGATACCAAAAACCTTAAGAAACGCTTCTAAATAACTAATGGATCAAAAAAGAAATAATAAGTTTTAACAATAAAGAAAAAAGAGAAAAAGAAACAAAGAAAGAAAGAAAGAATCCTTGCGGAACATGGTTAAATTAATACTTATAAGGGAATTTTATAGGCTTAATTGCTTATTTCAGAAAAAAACAAAAGCTAAATATGAACTCAGCATACAACTTGGGAAGTTAAAAGAACAGAATAACCCCCAAAAAGGTAGAGAAGAATAAACTAAAGAACAGAAACAATAGAAGAGAGAAAACAAACATACAATAAGAAGTTCAAAGCCAGAACAAACACAAACACACAATGTAATTTAAGAGAAACCAAACACATGAATAAAGAGAGCCACGGCCAAAAGCTATTTCCTTAAAATGACTAATACAGTTGACAGGCAGGTACTGCAGATCATTGAGGGAAGAATGAACTTCTTACTAAATGCTGTTGAGATAACTGGTTATCCATATGTTTAAAAAAAATTAAACTGGAATCCTACTCATACTCTATACGAAAATCAGCTCCAGGTGGCTTAAAGACAAATGCGGCAGGCAAAACTCTAAAGGCTGGGAGACCACAGAGTAAGGCCTGTTTGCCTTTCCATTCTCATCTCGTGAGTGCCACGCCTCTTTCTCTGTTTCAGTGCCTGGCAAACACCAGCTTCCATTCTTCCACGAGGACTTTCCATATGCTAGTTCTTCTCCCGAGGAGGTTCTGGCCCCTTTCACTTTGTCATCTGTCACTCCTCTGGTAAACCTAAGCAGGTGTCACTGCCCCAAAGAAACATCTCCAAGACGCTGAGAAAAGTCATCTTTGGTGTATTCTCACAGCATCATGCACCTTCACTGCACACAGCACCAAGGCAACTCTACTTCTGTGTCTGTGGTTGTTTGATTAATTTCTGTCTCAACAACTTAACTGCAAACTCACAAAGGGCACGAACCATGTCTACTTTTTCTCACCATTTTCATCTTGATGCCTAAAAGAATGCCTGGCAATCATAAGCACTCAATAAATATTTGTTGAACAAATGAACAAAGAAGAGAATAAACTAGACGAAAATGATGTCCCAGGACCAAGGGAAGATAAACTTTTTTAAAAGGGAGTGCTTTAAAGAGGTCAGGAAGGAACCAGACAGAAATCTTCCACCCTAAATAGATCGGTTAAAGGAAAAGAACAAATTACTAATCCATTTCTTAAACATTTTAATAATCTTAACAGCAGTACAGTTCAAACTGTGTACAATATTTTAGTTCAGCAATATTACAAAGAGTGGTCTACTTACTCTGTTTCCAAAAACTACAAATATTGCTATAAAAAGCCATTTTTATTTGATGAGTTAAAAAGAAAGGATCATTATAAAGAGCACTAAAATTACAGATTACCTTCATCAATGTACCATGTATTTTTTGATTTGGATTGTGGTTGTGAGTCAACAGAAGACCCATTTAAGGTATAAAATAATTCAGATCTGTTTCTATTTCCAGGGTCTGAGGTAGATCCTATAGAACAAGAAAAGTTTCATTTAAAAATAAAGTCAATATAGCATCAAAGGTTTTTCTAGTAAGAGAAATTAATATGCATATGATGTTAATAACTGTTTACATAACCAATAAATGTATATAAACACAATATGTTTTTTAACTGTCTTCAGCTTTTAAAAATTTGGTAACCATTTTGGCAATATTAAAAATATTCTTCAGCTCAAAAGTCAATATAGGAGGGAAACAGGAGTAAGTGAAAAGAAAGGTCCACTCATTTAAAAAAAAATGAACTGCTTTAAGACATTGTTCCATGTACCACAGCTTATTTTTAAATGTCAAAATCACCATTCCCCAGCTTCATTTGATAGACCCACTGGTTCACAAATGTAACCTATTATTTTAAAAGAAGGTAATCCTCAAATGCTATATATAAATCGATACACAAATTATGTTTAAAAATAGTTAAGTTTTAAACATTTTGGAATTTTTGGTCATCAAATTCCTTGTATCTTTGAAAAAATCAAGCACTATTATTTCTTATAGATTGGATTTACTGTATGTGAGAGGGCAAGTGTAGCTATGCCACAGCCATTTCAAGACATTACCTTGCCTCAGTATTAATTCAAGGACATGCCACACACAGTGGGGGGGCAGTGGGCTCTCCAGAACCCACAAAAAAACTGATTTTCCTTTTCAAATTAAAGTAGGTAGCTGTACATTTTATAACTTTAAGATCTACTACAATACAATTAACACGACATATCTTAAGAAAATCTTTAGTCTGTTTCTATTTAAATGAGAGTAGCAAGTTTGAGCTATCCTGTATAGATCTATAGGTTAACACAAAAAAGACTGTTACCTATATATCCTGTAATTAATCCTAAGTCTCCCAGGCTCCAATGTCACACAAAATAATTCTTAAAGTACAATTTCCTTTTAAATGAGCCAAAATTGTAATAATTGAGGAAAAAATATTCTTCTTCTAACCCGTATCTGAGTTAACAAAAATTCTTAGAGCCTTTTTAATGAGCTGTTTGGCTTGTATAACTACCATTCTATAAATCTATGAAATATGTGAAAGCTAACAAAAAAAGAGCTGTAAGCTCCACACATATTGTGAGGAAGCTTCTGGGAAAAAGAATAAATTTTTGCTTAGCAGTTTGAGATTCAATTTGTGCCACATCTAGTCAGTAAAATCCATTTAATTAATCTCTAGTATACTTTATCCTATATAACATTATCCATAAAGGATTATTTTACACAGTTGCAATCCTAAACTACACATACAAATATTCCAAGTAAGGAGTTCCAAAAACCAGTTGATTATAGACCAGCAAAACACACAAGTCCTTATAGGGAACTCTTCCTGAGGTAAAAAAGGCTGGGAACAGTTGGCTTAAACAATATTTATATACAAGCTTTAGTTTCACTACTAAAAATGTTTGAAAGAAAAAAAGTCTACATACATGTTCAGAAGTAATAGCTTATAACCTTTTTTAATGCTATGGCAAATTAGGCATTATGTAAATTACTAAAGGTTATATGCTATTAATCCATACCTGTAGCCTTTGGTTTATTATGACTGGATGAACCTTTGTCCCCAACACCTCTTGACATAAAGGCAAGTTTGGGAGGCCTCCTTTCCTGTGTCACGCTCTCTGAAATAGTGAACATGTTTTTTAAAGATAAAGGCAAATTCTTACAGAAAAGAAACAATCAAGAAAGCAATGACAGTAACAAAATTTAAAAAAAAAAAAAACCCTCTTTCCACAAAAAGGCAGAATTTTTAGTTTTACAAATTATTTTTAAAGGCCATCAAAAGTATTGAAAAAGATAATACCATGGGGGAAAAATCAATGCTGTATTTCAAAATGTAATTTCTATAAGAAAATACCCTCTCAAAATACAATTCAGCTAAATGCTTTAACCTCCTGAAAATTTAATTGCTTGTAGTCAATTGTATTTGATCTCTTAGAACACAACAAAGAAAATCTTACTCAGTTTTTTTACAGCATTTCCCAAATCAGCAGGCCTAGAACACCCCTGTGTATTACAAAGTGTTTCGAACTCAAATATTTCTTGAAGATGCTGAGATAAACAAAGATAAATAATTTCTTTACTGCATGGAACCAGAACCTTTAATATGCTAATGCGCATTGTGAATTGCTCAGGGAGAAACAAAATAAATTTACTGATAAAAATTTTTATGCCACTTTGCTTAGCATCTTAGATTAATATATTTCATGAACACAGTTTGAAAAAAGCCTGGTTAGGAACATGTGTCATCGTTAGGAAAGTTCTGGTTAAGAACATGTATCTGCTTTTAAAAACATATATGTTAAGAATAACACAGATGTGTATACAAACACATATATATACAGGAGGAAAACATAGAGAATTACACACAGATTAAAAATACAGAAAGCCAGAGACATAACAATAATATATGTGAAAAAACACTCAAAATTATTTCTGAAATATAGGTGTAATAAGTGTGGCAAACTTGTTTTGAATACAAAGACCACTCTAGAACTTAAAGCCCAGCAATGATCATAAAATACTCCTAAATACTGATCAAGGCAATGTAGAAGAGGCAGTGTGGAAAGTTCTTCCTTTGAAAAATTCAACAACACATCCGTGGAGTCCAACACGACACTTAGGAGTCATACCTGATAAAGCTGTGTGTCAGCAAAAACGGTATCACCCACAGTGGATTTGAGGACAGAAAGAAAGAAATAGGAAAATTTTTACATTTTAAACACAAGGAAAAGACTTTTCTTAAAAAAAAGAGGAAATCATACTACATGAATTATATGTAAATACTTGGTAACTTTTTCCATGGTTGAAGGAGAAGGGGGATGTATTACTAAACTATATCTTAAACATCTCATAATACGATCCAATAGAATATGAAAATATTTTAATTCAAAAATTATACCAGTTAACCATGATTTCCATCAAGTGATATAAGAAGAGAAAAGCTACGTACTAATACTGTGGTCCCCACTTATCCACACTTTTACCTTCGATGGTATCAGTTACCCACAGTCAACCACTGTCCAAAAATATTAAATGAAAAATTGCAGAAACAGACAATTCGTAAGTTTTAAATTGCACACTGTTCTGAGTATTACAACGAAATCTTGCACCATCCTAATCTATAACCCCTGGACATGACCCATCCCCCTGTCCAGCATCTCCACACTGTGTCTACTCCCTGCCTTGGTAGTCACTTGGTAGCCACCTCAGCCATCAGATCAACTACTGCAGTATCACAGTGCTCACGTTCAAGTCACCCTTATTTTACTTAATAATAGTTCTGAAGTACAAGAGTAATGATGTTGCCATATTGTTATTATTGTTTCTTTTCCGATTAATTATTGTTTTTAATATCTTATTGTGCCTACTATATAATTTAAACTTTATCAGAGGCATGAATGTAGAGGAAAAACACAGTATATGTAGGGTTCAGTACTATCCATAGTCTCAGGTATCCACTGGGGGTCTTGGAAGTATCCCTTGATGAAAGAGGAGACTACTGTTCTTTTATGATGCTGTCATTCAGATATCTTTAAATAGCACCCATGACAGCTACTTCAGAAGGAAAATCTTAGTCACTGAGAAGAGTTCCCAAATTATAGCATGTAAATTTACTAAAGAAAAACAACTCCCACTATTAACTGTAATTAACTGCATATAACATTTTTTAAGTATGTTCACATGTATACCACGATATAGATCCATTATATAGTTAGTAACCATTGTAACAAATGCCGCAAGTGCTCTTCCCTTTGTTAGGCTTTGAAGGCAGCCTGGCAGGACCGGAGGGCCAACTGGATGGCCAGTGGTGACAGTTCTGCAGGTGACACTAGGAAGGAGCTCCAAAGATTAGGAATGTGAGCAGGAGGGCACTGGAGTTGGAAACTGTGGCTACCCTCTGCCAAAGGCTGTCTGAGAGGGGGTCAAATATCAGCTCTGAAGAAGTGGACATTCCATCAGAATTCTATACAGACAAAGGGGCACAAACCACCTCTAACTGCCCTCCAGCAATTACACATCAAATATTTCTTGTTCCTTTGTCACAACTGTGTTCATGGCCCAAAACTACTTGGGTCAAAGCAAAGCTTTCAAACTTAAATGAATTATAAGTGATTACCAACTCAGGAAAAGATAAATATGGGATGAAAAACAAGGTAAGAAATAAATTCAGCTGGCAATTTTGTGTGATTAAAACAATCCTGATTAAAGATATTAAAAGATATAGAAGATAAGTCCACCAAACAGCATGTGTAAAAATGTACAGAGCAGCCCTATTCATTATAATCAAAAACTGGAAACAAGCTATTTCGCAGAAGAATAGAGAAACAAATTATGGTCTATTCATACAATGGAATACTACACAGCAATAAAAAAGGAATAAACGACTGATAAACAGGGCAACACGGACATTGTGTTCAGCAAAAGAAACCAAACCTAAAGTATCCATTATATATACACAGCAAGACTGCATTTAAATGATAAAATTCACAGCTTATCCATCACTTGTTGAGTTAACCAGAAAAAGAAAAATCCTTTGGAGAATCTTGAGCTGGAAATCATAACAATAAACTAGTGAAGTTTTTGTTGAACAAGTTATTGTTCAAATCAAATGAAATGTCTATGAATTTGAATGACCCAGTAAATTAAGAGAAATTGTTTAATTAATGTGCTGCTTAACATCAGCAGCCACAAGAGCATAATTCAGACTCAAATGAGAATTTAATATCCACAGAAATCTTGTGAAGAAAATACAGTTTACTTGAGTAGAATGAGGTATTATTAAACCCGACACCAGAAATATCTTAATAGCAACTATTCAGAAATCTCTAAAAGGTTGGGTTCCTGATCAGAATAAATATTTTCCATAATAGTATATGAAAAATTGTTCAAGAAATGCTGGAAGATGACATACAGATAACACCAAAAGTTGCATGCTGTAGACCTGGTGCTTCAAATTATCCTTCTTCAGGGCCCCAGCTCTAACTGTCTCATAGGACCAGGAGTTCTCCCTATACAGGCAATATTCATGGTGACTCTGACTGACAAACCATCTCTACAAAAGCCATGTATTACTGTCTATCAAAATGTAAAATGCACATAGCCTTTGACGTAGCAATTCTACTCCTAGGAAGTTATCATTTTACGCTGGCACACATGCTAACTGATACACAGATACGAAATTATTCACTGAAGCACTGCTTATAACAGCAAAAGACTGAAAACAACCTAAATGCTCATCAGTAGGAGACTGGTTCAAAAACTATGATACATGCATAAAATGAAATATAATGCAATGATTCAAACAAAAGACTAAGTATACAACTGATATACTAATATTAAAAAATCTCTAATATCTATTGTTAAGTTAAAAAGGAAGGTGGCAACTTCCACTTCTGGAAAGATAAAGTAGATGTACGTCCTATTTCTCTTGCTAAGTACAACTAAAATCTCTAGACATAATATATAAAACAAATATAAGAAGACTTTGAAAGGTAGAGATGGGAAGGTAGACCAGCTAGGAACCTCAAGACCTAAGAAATAACATCATGGAGATTTCCCTCTGGGTTTTCTTCTTGACTACATTCTTATCTCATACTCAGAGCTAAAAAACTCAGCACCGTGGAAACATCAATAGGCACAGACTAAAGAAGGCCCCAACAAAAGTTCTGCTCTCTCTAGCCAAAGGATATCAATTCTCCCCAAAGTCATATACAGGTTTAATGCAATTCCTATCAAAATCTCAAGAAGATTTTATATAGATGTACACAAGATTACTCTAAAATGCATACAGAAAGGCAAAAGATCTAGAACAACTAAAACAATTTTGGAAAAGAAGAATAAAGTAGGAGAAATTAGTTTAATAGATTGCAAGACTTACTAGTTAGCCACAGTGATCGAGACTGTGGTATTATGGGCAGTAGGACAGACACACAGATCAATGGAACCGAATGGAGAACCATGAAATAGACCCACATAAATATACCCAACTGAATTTTGACAAAAGCAGATAAATAATTCAACAGAAGAAAGAATCTTTTCAACAAATAGTGATGGAGCAATTAGATATCCACAGATTTTTTAAAAAATGAAATTCTACTTACATCTCACACCTTATACAAAACTAACTCAAAATAGATTATAGACTTAAATGTAAAAAGTAAATCTATGAAAGTTTTTGGAAAACAGAGAACAAGGATGCAAAGAAATTAGAACCCTCATACACTGTGGCTGGAAAAGTAAATGGTGCAGCTCCTTCGGAAAACCATCTGGCAGTTCCACAAATGACTAGACACAAGGTCACCATATGACCCAGCAATTCCACTCCTAGGCAGTACCCAATAGAACTGAAAACATTTGTATATGAATGTTCACACAGCATTTTTAATATAGTCAAAAACTAGAAACTGATGTCCATTGACTGAAAAATGGATAAACAAAATATGGCAGATCCATTTACTGGAATATTATTCAACCATAAAGAAGGTTAGAGTACTGATTTTGCTATCACATGGATGAACCCTGAAAAGATTATGCTTAATTGAAGAAGCCAGACACAAAAGCCACACATTTTTTATTCTATTTATGTGAAATGTCCAGAATAGGCAAGTCTGTAGAGACAGAAAGCAGATCAGTGGTTGTCAGGGTCTCAGGGTAAGAGACAATGGGAAGTAACTGCTTAATGGGTACTGGGTTCCCATGAAAATGTTCTAGAACTGGATAGTGGTAAGGGTTGCACAACATACTACATTTCAATTTTCAAAAGCTTAGGAGAAAATCTTTCATATGTAGAGCTAAACAAAAGTTGTTGAACTTGACATAAAAGCTTGATCCATACAAGGAAAACTTTATAAACTTGACTTCATAAAAATAAAAATCTTGTACTCTGTGAAAGACCCTATTAAGAGGATGAAAAGACAACTACACATTGGGAGATAAAATGTATCAAAGAATTCGTACCGAGGATACATAAAGACTTCTCAAAACTCAACAGTAAAAAAGCACAGGATCCAATGAAAACCTGGGCAAAAGAGATGAGGACACCTTTCACTCAAGAATATATATGAAGGCTGGGCATGGTGGCTCATGCCTGTAATCCCAGCACTTTGGGAAGCCGAGGCGGGTGGATCACTTGAGGTCAGGAGTTTGAGACCAGCCTGGCCAACATGGTGAAACCCTCTCTCTACTAAAAACACAAAAATTAGCCAGGTGTGGTGGTGCACACCTGTAATCCCAGCTACTTGGGAGGCTGAGGCAGGAGAATCACTTGAACCCAGGAGGCAGAGGTTACAGTGAGCCGAGATCGCACCACTGCACTCCAGCCTGGGTGACAGAGCAAGACTCCATCCCCCCCAAAAAAGAAAAAGAATATATACAGATGACAGTGAGTACACGGAACGATGTTCAACATCAGCAGCCATCAGGTAAACTCAAATCAAAATCACGATGAGATACAACTACAAATCTCTCTGAATGGATGAAATTTAAAATAGTGACAACACCAAATACTGGAAAGGATACAGAGAAACCAGATTACCCATATATTGCCAGTGGTAATGTAAAAGAGTACAGTCACTCTGGAAAACAGTTTAGCGGTTTCTTACGAAACTAAATTTGCAAATATCAGCGAGTATGCACTCGG